CGCGTTCAATCACGGGTTGTTTCGGTTCACCCGTCGTCTGTGTTGCCGGACCACCTGATCTTTCATAGTCGTTTAGCGATTTTGCGCAGCTTTCCGTTTCATTTTCGTTGGGTTCTTCTGCCTGGTCGCGTTCATTCCTATGAGTATCACTTTTTGTTCTATTCTTTTTCGTTTCATATGTTTGTCTTTCCTCTGATTTGGGAATGTGGTCGATCGGGTTCCTGTTGCCTTCCTTTTCCGTTGATACATCTTTTTCCTGTCGCCGTTTTTGGTATATCCATGGTAGGAATTTTTTTATGTTTTCGCTTTTTGTTTCATTTGGCTCGTATTTTCTCTGCTCTGCTGCTCTCATACTTTTTCTTGGGTCATCAATTCCATTTTCTGCAAGTGCTACGTTTTGTTGTTCTGTCGGTTGATATCCCTCTGTCTCCAGGTGTGCTGATAGTTTTGGAATATTGCATTTTGTTCCAGGTATCCGCTCTCTATCTTTTGTTCTCGAGTGTAGGCCACTTGGAGCCTTCGGTGATACCGCTTTCTGTTTGGGCTCGGTTAGTTGCATTTCCGGTGCGATTTCTCGCATAATTTTCTTTAAGGTTGATTTTTCACCGCTGTGGTCTAGTGCAATCCGCCCGTTCATCGTATTCTCTCTGTCTTGTTCTAGCGGTTCTTGGATTTTGCTTCCTGGCCCAACTCTTTTATCTAAGACATCCGGTGTTACCTTTTGGAGATCAAGCCCTAATAGTTTTAATGGACGAGATTTTTCTGGATTAATCGTTGCACTCGTACGTTTCACGGTATCACCTAAGTGAGTTGAATTTAAAGGATCCATTTCGGATTCTTTTTCTAGATTCACATTTTTCTTAAGGGATTTTTTTTCCCGTCTCTTCACAAGATCGTTTGCCAACATTACTGCTCGATGCAACTGATTTACTTGTGGTTGCTCATTCATAGTTATTGTTTTCGGCTGACTAATTGACCCTTGCTTATCAGTGGGTATCTTGTCTTTCACAGCAGTCTTTCTGGCCCCTCTGAGAGATCTTTTCGACGTTTTCTTTGTCGGTTTCTCTGCTTTGGGCATGAGAGGTAGTTTGATAAGTGGGGGTGATAAGCTGGGTTTCGAAGATGTCTCTTTGGGGCTAGATGTTTGCAGTTGCTCAATTAATGACTTTAATGACAAAACATTAGCTGACTTCATTTCTCCAGTTTCCTTCAAAATGCTTTCCCGTTGACCAAATGTCAAGTCAGCCGAAGACAGTAAAGAGGACCGCTGCTCTTGATTTTCTTTGTATACTGAAGTTTGAAGATCCACAGATTCTCTCGCCATACGAGATGAGGCAACGAATTCAGAAAGGCTTGTGGATGGTGTGGGAAAAATATGACTAGTAACGTTGGCAATTACTCCGGAATCCATACTTTGGAAGGATTGAGGTGGAGGAAGAGGTCTTGGTACGCTTCGAATAATAATTCCAGCGTCACGGTAGAACACTTCTGTTGATGGGATATCCTCTGAATCTTTGGTGCCTTTGTGAAGCATCATCGCTGCCGACTGGCAACTTCCCATACTCAGAATATCTATCTCTTGTCCGATGGACTCATTTGATCCACCGTCTTCCGTCCCAGCACTCATTTGATTCATATACCACTTGACATCATTTCGGGTATCTCGTCCAACGGAACGACAGAACTTCCACAATATTTTACGCTTTTTTGTTCCAGGATCTTTTACTGGACGGAGGGGTTCGCTTCGCACAAGGCGGTCACTCGAGCTACTCGAAGGATTACTTATCATGGATAACCGACCAAGAACTGACCACCGCTTGTGAGCGGGTAACTCAACCTGTAGATCTCCGGATACCAAACGGATCGCCTTTACGTACGTTCTCTCTGGCGTGTAAGAACGAAATACGCCTGAAATGAAGCGCCTTCTGTATGGGGATCCAAAGCAAACCATCGGTAGAATCCGACTAACTTTGGTCTCAGCAAGTGGAATAACCGCCTTCTGAGTTGTTCGGTTTCGGCTCCACTTCATGACCATCTCACTTCCAAAATAGAGCACATGAAATTGTTGTGCAACGCATGTATTTTTTAGCCAACAAGGCAGAAAAAAGACAACCGTTGTATGGAACAGGAAACACTCATCCCACTCTTTGGGAACCTGAACACATGACAGCATGTACATGCATGTACACAGATGGTTAGGTGTGATAGATTTCCTTCTCATACGTGTGCTTGATGAGCTTTGTTTTCGACCATCCCGTCGATATTTTCCATTGCGTAAAATTTGCCCACGATCCCAGCGCTGATTGGTGCGTATTCGTGAAAATCTGCCTGATTGATATGATCGAGAGTATCGTGTGCATGAGCGAGAGAGAGGCGTCCGTTTTGGATGACGATTGTCACTGTGTGGTCGCAGAGGCTGTGGATCAGAATGAGTACGCTTCATGGAACTGGACGGATTCTGATCAGTCTGAGTACTCGTGTCTGCTTTGCACACGGATATACAATTGTTTTGGTACACAGAACCGGATGATAGTTCCAGGTTTGCATTAATAGTACTGGACTGGTCAAGTACACTGCGTGCCACTGAGGAACAAGTCAACGTGGGGTCCCGTGAAAGTTCCCTCGATAAAATCAGTTCTCGCAATGACCACAGCTCATGCACAAATCCTTCAGCCAGCTCTTGTTCTGATCTACGCAGCAAGGCGAGCAAAACCTGTAAACGTTCGTATTTTTCCTCTTCGTTGAACGAATCGATCACGTTAGAATTATTTTCAGCCCGGAACCAAAACGTGTTCGTTAAATCCACTTGTTCTGAAGTATGCGTGATTTTGTTTGACACATTGTGTGAAAATGCACAGTGAGAATGAAGACTGGCTACATGTTTCGCTTGCGTGCATTCATCTGACGTATTGTACGGTGAGCTTTTTTCACAGGCTTCGTTTGGGAGAAGTAAACATAGTTTGGACGAATTGAGTTTGAATTTATAGACCTAAACAGATGAAGGAGAAATTCGATAAAGTACGTGCTGTTTACCACGAACATAGACTCTGATTCAGTTTTTTCCACCAAAGAAAGCATTAATGACGAAAATTGTGCTCAAACTGAGATGCAGGTTATTTTTTGGGTTTCACTTCTTTCTCGTCTTTCAGCGAAACCGATGGAAAACCGAACTTTGCTGGTTTGGAATGGAGAACAAATAACCGGACCAAAACTAAGAATTCCTCTGAAGAAACTGATGCCAATCAGTTTGGATGAATAAGTCCTGGGGGATGATAAATGGTTCTAGAGATGATAGTCCTTAACGCTATTCATGCGCGCGCCATCAACGGCGAGCGATTTGGATTTGTCCACATTAAAACAGCATCTGTTAAGAAACATGCCAAAAATTGACGGCAGATATTGAAGAATATCAAAGTCGGATGATGCGCTTACCGACCGTGACTTATTCTCTTAGAAAAAGATTTTATTAGTCAAAGAAACCTAGGATGAAACCGGTTGTAAACATATCAGCCCCATAGGATTCTTATGATTTTGGTAATCTAAGGAGTTTATTTGTCGAACAGGGGTGATAATGGTGTGTATTTCCTCACTGTGTTCAGGAAAAGCTACGAAACCAATTGGCTTAGGCCCGTTAGGGCAGGCATCATACGTACGATCTCATATGAACCCTTCTGTTAGGGATTCTGTTCTTCTATGGATTTATTTATCATTGGCATTTGAAGCTTTTCCTTCACGCCTTGCTTTATACTACCTATGAGTATGATGATGATTTGGTGTATAGGATACAGCTTTATTTTTCTTCGAATAATATTATCGAATTGAGACGTTCTTATACTCTAGAGTAGCAAGAGATTCAATGAGACGAAAACAAAGTATATTCGCTAAGGATTACACTTGAGTTTCACCCATGAGTTGAGGTATGAACCAGTTGCTGTAGTGTTAACACACGGCTTCCATGCGATGTCTCCTAAGTACTAAATCGGGGTAGACCGGCGAAATCGAAGATGAAAAGCTGGTGTATAATCAGTTAAACTCGATCATATTACTTACTTCCTGCTGTTTTTACGATTAGCTCTGAGTAAAATATTGAACTATGCAAGTTAAGCTTTCACTTTTCAGTTTTTACAACCAATAAACATGCACTTTTGTGTGCCGATTTTCGTTGCTGTCTTTTGGCCGCCTAGTTGGATAAGAGAGCAGAATCAAGATTGGAATGCTGAGAGCAGAGATGAGAATTCATATAGACTGAGGTTGCAAAAATAATGAGTAGACCTATGAGCGCCACTGTTTGCGATACCCAGCCATATCACATAGTGTCTCTAACCACCGATGACCACGATCTCGGGGTCCCTAGCCAGGGGGCTTAACGGGACTTATGTGACCCAGTCTCCTGATTAGGGTTTTCATAACCTCATTCTAAGTCTTCGTTTGACCGCCCTTGATCGTTTTTCAACCGCTACCTGCCTCGGAAAACATCGCTCGCCGTGGCAGCCTATCGGATGACACGCGTAACACATATCCCAACCAACGTAATCTATGGAGGTAAACTACTAAATTAGTTGGTCACCATAGATTACGTAAGTTAATTAAAGTTGAAGCGTAAATATATCTGTCCAATGAAGGCATTTTCTGTGAAGAGGAAGTAAACCTATACTCTGCGGCACAGAAAAATAATGGTACCATGTAAAGCTATGGNTTTTATGCATTCAATCGGTGATCCAAAGCGGCACAAGTAATGTGTTCACTGTTCGTTATCGTATTCCCGTTACAGTGAACCATGGGGTTCGCGCTAGCAGTCTCCATACCTCGAAACGCAGCAGAACAGCCTAAACTAAAGTGCTAGATAATTATTTGAGTCATTCGTAACATCACAGTGAAGAGCACCAAAACTATTCTCATTTTAAGTACTGGGGGTTTCTAACAGAAGGCATGAACCAAGAATGTTTATTCGCCAGACGTGATTTATTCAACAATGAACCAATAAGATACGAGAATAAAGCCCAGCACATATTAGAAGAAATCGAAAAAAATCAGCCTATATAGAGTTAAAGATTACTTGCTGTCGCTTGCAAATGCATTAAAAAAAACACGCACACATAACATTCGTTACTGGCATCAATCACTTTTAACCCCTTGTGGGTTTTTTTCTAGTTGGTAAATAATAAGCTTCTATGTGCCTACCGATCTGTCTCTTTCTCATTCATGTGAAAAAACGTCGACTACGGCCTGTCGTGACGCACCTCAGAGTGGGACCCCGAAGTCGCAAAACAACCAAGTTACCGCTGGTTAAGCCAGAAGGCTTGTGGTTGTTGTAGACGTTTATTGAGGTACCGCGGCACAGAGAACGTACCGGTACCGG